ACACAACCCCCCCCCCCCCCCCCCCTCTAGAATCCCGCGGATTTCCGCGGGTCCTGCTAGTAAGAGTAATAATCAAATTAAACGTCAAAGTACACGATACAACTAATCGTCTTCTTTTACTAATAATTTAATGAACCGTGAAAGCTTCCGCGCTACGCGCGGAATGGGCGAAAATGAATACAGACAAGGATTAAGAGTAATAATTTATTGAAACGTTAAAGCTTCCTCGCTTTGCGCGGTAGGGGGGAACTGAATTCATGAAGGACACGATACAACAAATCGTCTTCTTTCTCTAATAATGTAATAAAATGTGAAAGCTTCCGCGCTTCGCGCGGAGGAAGGGGAACTTGATTCAAACAAGGATTAAGAGTCGAGAATAATAACATACATACAATGAGCTGTAAAGGGTACATGAACATTTGTATACGTAAATAACCCACTTCTTGTGATGGCCAAGATTAAACTGATTGAATTTGACGACAGTCGTTATTTTCCCACTTAAAGACATTTTTAAGCCCCCATTTTTTAAGGGAAGTTCTAAATTAGTATTATCTTTCAAATACTGTTCGAATTTAACCTTTTCATTATTTTTGGCCTGCAAATGGGACATAGTACCTTTAATGGATAATTCTTAACCTTCTAATGTATTTGACTATCGGGCTTTTTCTTTTCCTTCTGCAATTATTTGTGGTTTTGTTCCGATTGTTTTACCCGAATACTTGTCGGTAAGCAGCCCGGGAACCGACTGCTTTATCTCCGAGCAGGGGCGGCGATCCGAGGAGGACGTCCCCCCCCCCCCTCAATTTTTTTTTTTGGGGGGGGGGGGGAGGAAAGGGTCATCCCCCCCGGAAAATTTGAAAAAGTGCAACAAAAAAGTGTATAGCAAATACTGATTAAAACTTCAAAAACCTGTGAGAGGGTAGTCACTTCCGTCACCTTCAGCCGTCTCATTCATTATGCTCCCTCACACTGGAGTAATGATTTTTTTTTTTTTTTTTTTTTTTTTTTTTTTTGGGGGGGGGGCGTAAATACTTTAGCCTCCCCCCCCCCCCCCATTCCGCGGGGCCTGCATGTAACTTGTAAGAGTGGGGTGATGGGGATTATGTTCTCCCCCCCCCCCAACGTTTTCTTTCTTATTTCGCCATTGTTGCCTCTCCCTCGCATTTCGTCTCCCCGGTCATATGAAGAAAAAAAAAAATCGCCGCCCGTGTATCCGAGGGAATCGGTAATGATGATTAATGACTTACCAAAGGCATTGATCGAAACTTATCATCAACATCCATCTCGACATAATAGGATTAAAGGTAATGCACAGTTTTGGGAAATTTTGAACATTGGATGGATAGTAATTCTTCAAAATTTTGATATATTTGGATGCCCCTGTGGATGTATTATAAGCACTAGAAAATTTAGCCCCTAAAACACTTCTGCTTTCGAGAAATTGAATAATCAAAAATTTACCGGTGCTCCTGGTAAATTTCAGATATTTCAAATAGCGCCTAGCCATTCCATAGTAGCTGCGACCATGAAAATCTCAGAATATGCAGTTTTTATATAAAGTTTCCAAAACGGAAATAGCAAATCGGTCGATTGTAGTCAAGAAACATTGTTTTAAAGCTCAAGTAATATCAGTCTTGAGAGGGCGCTATACAACATAAAGAGTTTATTATTTACAATTTCATCACTTTAGACTCGATTTCAATCGCGACAATGATCATTGAATACTGTAAGACTGCATAATTATGCTTCAAATACGTTCATTCGAACCAAATTCACGACCCCATACCAAAACTGTGTATTACCTTTAATGAATTAACATCAATATTCCATCTACGTCACAATCTCAAATGTCACCCTACCACTACTCAATATTGATTATACACTGACCATCACTACTGCCATCATCTCGATCAACATTGCGAGATTGGCAATCTAGAGTAGGCCCTTCTTTATATCTCAGAATTTACCTAATTCAGCAAATGTGAAATAACTGACTTCGTTGGAGGGGCCTGCGCTTTCTAATGTTTTTAAACTGAAATATGGCGCCACATACATGCTGTGAATCATCATTCTCATTAGTGGCATATTACTCATTACATTACGTCATCATCACCACTGTCATTATCACCTTTGACCATGACATCATCTTTAAACATCCCCAACATTACTAACATTGAAGTCATCTACTTCCCCCATCACAACCATCCACATCCCCTAGATCAATTCAACTGAATTCACCATAATCATCAAAATCATTAACAGCAGCATCCGCATCACCAGTAGTATATACAGCAGCATCACCACTTTCATCTTCATCTGTTAGCATCCTTTGCAGCAGCACCAACTGAGTCGTTGCGATTTTTTTGGGACCCCCAAAAAGTGTCCTCTTACCCCCCCCCCCCCCCCCCCCCCCCCCCCCCCGCTTATTCATCGGCTGGCTGAGTCGTTGCGAAATTTTCGGCCCGATTTAAAAATGTTAACCCCCCCCCCTTGAAAAAATCCTGCGTACGCGCCTGTCGTCGGTCCTCACTATCATCATCATCATCATCATCATCATCATCATCATCATCATCATCATCACTACCATCAACATATATCGTCAGTCCTCACCATCATCATCATCATGCCCATCACCACCACCATATATCGTCGGTCCTCACTATCATCATCATCATCATCATCATAATCACCACTAACACTTATGGTCAGTCCTAACCATCACCATCATCATGCCCACCACCATCAACATATATCGTTGGTTCTCACCATCGTCATCATCATCATGCCCATCACCATCAACATAATATCGTCGGTTCTCACCATCATCATCATCATCATGATCACCACCATCAACATAATATCGTCGGTCCTCACTATCATCATCATGAAAACCACCATCAACATAATATCGTCGGTTCTCACCATCATCATCATCATCACCACCATCAACATAATATCGTCGGTCCTCACTATCATCATCATCATCATCATGATGATCACCCCCATCAACATATATCGTCAGTCCTTACTATCATCATCATCATCATGCCCATCACCATCACCATATATCGTCAGTCCTCACTATCATCATCATGCCCATCACCATCAACATATATCGTCGGTTCTCACCATCATCATCATCATCACCACCATCGACATAATATCGTCGGTCCTCACTATCATCATCATCATCATCATCATCATCATCATCATCATCATCATCATCATCATCATCACCATCATGATGATCACCCCCATCAACATATATCGTCAGTCCTTACTATCATCATCATCATCATGCCCATCACCATCACCATATATCGTCAGTCCTCACTATCATCATCATGCCCATCACCATCAACATATATCGTCGGTTCTCACCATCATCATCATCATGATCACCACCATCAACATAATGTCGTCGGTCCTCACTATCATCATCATCATCATCATCATCATCATCATCATCATCATCATCATCACCATCAACATATATCGTTGGTCCTCACTATCATCATCATCATGATCACCACCACCATCAACATATATCGTCGGTCCTCACTATCATCATCATCATCATCATCACCACCATCAACATATATCGTCGGTCCTCACTATCATCATCATCATCATCATCATCACCATCAACATATATCGTTGGTCCTCACTATCATCATCATCATGATCACCACCACCATCAACATATATCGTCGGTCCTCACTATCATCATCATCATGATCACCACCATCAACATATATCGTCGGTCCTCACTATCATCATCATCATCATCATCATCATCAACATATATCGTCGGTCCTCACTATCATCATCATCATCATCACCATCAACATATATCGTCGGTCCTCACTATCATCATCATCATGATCATCACCACCATCAACATATATCGTCGGTCCTCACTATCATCATCATCATCATCATCACCACCATCAACATATATCGTCGGTCCTCACTATCATCATCATCATGATCATCATCACCATCAACATATATCGTCGGTCCTCACTATCATCATCATCATCATCATCATCATCATCAACATATATCGTCGGTCCTCACCATCATCATCATCATCATCATCATCATCATCATCATCATCATCAACATATATCGTCGGTCCTCACCATCATCATCATCATCATCATCATCATCAACATATATCGTCGGTCCTCACCATCATCATCATCACCACCATCAACATATATCGTCGGTCCTCACTATCATCATCATCATCATCATGATCACCACCACCATCAACATATATCGTTGGTCCTCACTATCATCATCATCATCATCATGATCACCACCACCATCAACATATATCGTCGATCCTCACTATCATCATCATCATCATGATCACCACCATCAACATATATCGTCGGTCCTCACCATCATCATCATCATCATCATCATCATCAACATATATCGTCGGTCCTCACTATCATCATCATCATGATCATCACCACCATCAACATATATCGTCGGTCCTCACTATCATCATCATCATCATCATCACCACCATCAACATATATCGTCGGTCCTCACTATCATCATCATCATCATCATCACCACCATCAACATATATCGTCGGTCCTCACTATCATCATCATCATCATCATCACCACCATCAACATATATCGTCGGTCCTCACTATCATCATCATCATCATCATCACCACCATCAACATATATCGTCGGTCCTCACTATCATCATCATCATCATCATCACCACCATCAACATATATCGTCGGTCCTCACTATCATCATCATCATCATCATCACCACCATCAACATATATCGTCGGTCCTCACCATCATTATCATCATCATCATAATCACCACTAACATATATGGTCAGTCCTCTTCATCACCATCATGTATCTTCAGTCCTTTACTATCACCATTACCTCCACCACTTTCATAACTTCAGACACAATACACCAAAAGAAACATACAAGAAAGAAAAGAAGTAATCAGATCATTAGATCAATATTGTACTGTGCTTTCAGTGCATTTATTTTTAAATTTTCCTCTTTTTTTCTCAATGAGTTGATTTTTTAAAGTTTATGATACAACACCTTAACTACATAATCGTCACCTTCTCTCTTCCTATCTGTGCTAATTTGCACAACCTTCTATAGGCAACCGCTTTCTTCACTCCAAGAAACTTATTAAATAATGGTAACACTTTCGATGGGTGTGACTAGAGACCATAATTGGTGTGCATCCTAGAAGTAATTCATCTACAATTGTTTAAACTTGTAGTCATCATCATCATCATCTTCAGCATCATCATCATCAACATTATCATCGTCATCAATGTTTCTTTTTATTAGTAATACTTACATTCTACAAGTGCACTATGCGACCAGCCATTCCGCACCAAGTCTTTTTACGACGGATGAATTCTTTCTTTAAAAAGTATATAATATAGAGTATCAAAAATGCCATTCAAAGACAGCATGTTATACACTTATATCAGTAGACTGTACAAAGAAAACACATCGTGGTCTTTGGTAAACAAAATAAAGGCTCTGGTTTTTTTTTAAATCTCATAGAATTTTTTTTTTCTGTCACCACAGATGTTGAACAGTTTCACTTTTATACCACCACTTTGACTAAAACACAGCAAAAAAAATATTTGTTGACCACTAATTCCCTTCTTTTCATGATATAAAATACAGGAGTACCTCCTTTTTTGTACACAGGCATCTGGTGGAAGATTGTGTATACTGCATTTTGATGGAGATTTCAATGCAGAACACGACATGCCCATCTTGCTATATAACACAAACAATGACTCCCGTAGTGAACACTAAATCTTGTATAAAAAAATGTCACAGATTTTACATGATGTACTGAAAAAACTTGCACTTCATTTTTCATGCTTTAAAAGATTGCAGTAAAAGATATCATCCAAGGAAAAACAACAATACAAAAACACCATCTCAGATGCCCTGGGCAGATTATCTAACGAGTGCATTACATCTTTTTAAAATGGAAGTAATTAGGGCTTCGCTTGATGTGGGATCCTCCACAACAAAGTTTTCCCTTACAGTACTGTGCCAATAAGATGCTTGGTATTGTATACCCATCTATGTCCTTCTCCATCAAAAAACAAACATCAAAATGCATAAATGTTTACCATGAAATATACTGTTTGTCTTGTGTACATCATCTAAAAGGCCGATTGCAACTTGTCCTTCAATGAATATCTAATATACGTTATTTATTTCTTTAATATATTAAATCAATGATATATCTTATTTATTTTCAACCAGTTTCACCAAAAGTCACCACAACACAGAACCAATTTTGTTACCGCTACCCAATACCACATTTCCACTAGAACACCAATTACCACCAGATTCCACAATTTTGGACAGAATTCACATGCAACACAAAAACGGCCAAAAAATATATATAGAATGCCTGATGACAATTCAAGCCGATTCTACGGTCATCGGCTCGAATGAAGGAAAGAAATAACTTTGTGCAAATTTGTACAATCCCATCAAAACAGAAAAAGAAAATTTGAAACTGAAAAAGAAAATAACAAACATCAACTCTGATACCAAACATTTTACAGAATAGATCACATCAAAGTTCAAAAATTCTGCACTCTTTTTAAAAAATAATGGTTGTTCTTCAAATTTCTCGACTAATATTTTATCTATAATCTTCAAAGGTACCATTGGTAAAAAATGCTTATTCAAATACGAGCTTGGTACGGAATGACTGGCTGTCAAAATGTGCATAAAATATTTTTAATAATTTTTTTCATATTTTCTGTTGCTTTTTTTCTTCTCAATGCTATATTTTCATTTTACATGCTACCAGTACTTTGCTCTTAAAAGTAAACTTAATTTATATCTCTCCTGGTTCACTTCTGAGCCTATACAAAACTTCTTTCTCTTCTTCTTCTTCTTCGTCCATCTGTTCCTTTTCCTCCTCGTCCTTCAGTACCACTCCTGGTAAGCCGATACGGTTTCCATGGCAACGAGATGGCTTGGAGGATTCTCCTTGAATGTTAATGAGTGATTCGCAGCATCACCATCAGCACAAAGCGCTTCTCTCCTTGAGCAATCCAGCGTATGATCTATCCAGACATTCTTAAAACGGAATGTGTTCCCATCGTCCTCAGGCCTTGCACAGTCCATCCTTAACCCCTTGACTACTACAATCTCATACCCCATAGGTTCATCACAGGGGCAGCTCAGTTCCATTAGGCAATGGGTTAAAGTAGTCACACAAGGGATCAATCCATGTCCTCCTCTTCCTTCTCCTCCATGCCACACTCAAGAGGTATATTCAAAAAACGCTTCAATCATAAATAAAAATCACCTACTTTTTGTGATGCAAAGATAGATTTAATCAAAGATAAGAAGTCAATTCTACATCTCGAAAGTCCCGAGATAACTAATCTACATTTTTCTATGTTTTTTCTTCATTTTCGTATCTTTTCTTCTCAATCTACATATCATACAACTCTACTGGCTACGAATGTAAATGTACTTTTAGAATCATAATATGTCTAGAGCTATATGTGAAGTGAAAGAATCGTTATACTACATGATCTCAATATAAATTAAGCTGTTGTTTCAAGTGTCTGAGAAAAATCATAGATTTTTAGCCAAATCACTACATTTGTGTACATAACTTAACAAAAATTTAAAAGAAAAATGACAGAACAAAATGATTGCATTTACAAGCATGTGATCACATATGAAGTGAAGATGTACATTGTGTGACTAATAATCTGCTGTAAAGGTACTGTTTAAAATCTGAATGGACTTGCCAAATATCAGTTTTCTCATTCTTTTTATTTTAGGCATTAAGAATTATACTGTAGCAATTTTAGGTTGATTTTTGAATAGATTAATTAAATTAAACCACTGTAATTATACCTATATGCTCTCTTGGAAGTGAATTTTCTAATGAGATGTTTGCAAAACATTTGCACAATATAAATCATTTTATTTCACAATAAAATAGCTGAAATCATAACACCAAAACTGTTTGTGAATTGAGTTGTCTCTGGAAAGAGATGAATATGTGAATTGTGGAATGAAAATCTGATCTAAAAAAAACCGGGGTGTTTATTTATTCACTGATGCAGCATTGCTTCATCAATGAGTTGAAGATTGGCCAGGAAAGGCAAATGATTAAAATACTTTACAAGTAATTAGCAATGATGGCCTTAAAGATAAGATACTTTTGTCTTTTCAAGAACAAAAAAAGTATAATCCTTTCATGATTTCAAAGTCTAAAAAATGTAAATTATATAATTGGAAATAAAATACTTTTCCTCTTTAAAAGGAAAAGTTCTAAACAAAACATTTGTTAAATGGTACAAAAGCATTACATTTGATAACATATAAACTGCAGGAATACAAATGAGTTGAAAGTATAATCATTGTCTGGCAGGATTAAGTACTTTAAACGCTTCCCACATAAATACCGGATAATGCTTGATCACTGAATACAATTACCATCATAAAACTGAATGAGAGCTGCAATGTTTCTGACGTTGCTATATAGATAGTACATGAATGAGAAATGTACAGAACTTCAATAAATAATGAGATATCATACAAAATAGTACATCAACATACAGCATGAATACAGTTTTTCATCACTCTCCTTGACATGGTCATTGACGACTACATTGCCTTGTGTTTCTTGAACATGCAAATAAATAAAACATGCAATATTAACCTAACATAAAGAAAGAGCTTGTTCTGAACCTCTCAGAATAAAATTAAAAAGCAAATGAAGAGAGAAGTTGCATCTAGTGGCACATGCATGTATACAAAATGGAATGTACAGAGTTACTACATTACCAATGGGCAAGTACATGGTCAATGCTTTCCAATAAATGGACCAAAATATGTTTTGATTGTCATGAGAACTAATGCTGATGTTCGGTTTATCCCAAAGCCCAAAAATTCATTTCCTGCAACTGAGGCGGGAAATTTAGAGGATAGCGTTTGTTGATATGATATGGTAATGTTTGTTATGCTTCCATATTGTCTGGTAGGAGCCAGAAGGGCATTAACTCTGTGTTAAAAATTACGAGAGTTAACACCCTTCTGGCTCCAAACAGGCAATATTCATGTTGGTACTAAAGTAACTGCAAAATATTTGAAAGAGATTTCAAAACTACAGAATATGGAATTCTCAGACATGTTCAGTCTTTGGTCACTCTGCTGATGAACGTTGAGTACAAACAGCTGAACAAATGAGACAGGCAAAGGGACAGGCAAATAGATTGAGGAGAATGGTTTGCACTACCTGGAATGAAGACTTTGTTTGGTCCTACGAGAGGAGATAATGAAGTATGGATGTAGAGAGAGAGAGTCAGGAGTGTGATTTTCACTTGAGACAGACGGCGCACCCGCCCGCCAAGCGAATTACCAAATTAATCGCTAGATCTAGATTATTCTCAACAACATCGGTAAACGTACTCCATGTGGCATGGCTAGTTAAAATAGGAATGGTATGAAGAAGACTCGATCCCCTTCAAGGAACTCTTGGGTTGGGTTGGTGATAATTACATCAAATTCTGATTGTTCCAAAAGTAGCCACATCCCCTTAACAAAAAAGGTTCTTATATTCCCAGAAAAAAGGAGGAAATGTGATTACAAAAGGATATCCTCTCTAGACATTGTATATCAGTACATGTAGCTGGGTGGTAGACTATGTGTAGTTAATGATACTTTAAAGGTATTTTGGTAGCCTATCATGAACTTACTATGTGTATATGAACATCACATCTCCAAAAGAACTCATTATAAATTATGACAAATTTAGTGGATGTTAAAGCATACCTTTCTACACACATTCATCCATTATTTCTACAGAACTTTGGTGCAGAGTTAGGAAAATAAAGCCATCCTTATCTTGGATATACACTGAATTATGGCAATGGATTGTCTTTCAACACAAAACTTTATCAAAAGGATCACACAGTTTTCTTCTTCTTGACCAAGAAAAATCAAAGCATCTTGTTTGGTCCCCTCCTTTCTGTACAAATCAACACTTATATAAAAATACAAAAACCAAAGGGTGACTGACACCTTAATTTCCATGGTGGAGTTGGTTTGTACTATACCACTCCATTTAGATCCAGTTAACCAATTGGGTTATAGTCATATGGGGAAGAAAAATCCTATGGGGGGAAAAACAAACAAATTTGCCTCCAATACCTGAACATATCTTTTAACAAATTATCAAAGATTTCCAGAAGAAATCCTTATTTTTGTTTGAAATACATGGGAGAGAAATGCAACCAATGCATTATATACTGAACAAATGAGATTGCATTTTGGGAAGTTAGCTGACAAGAGAAAACTCCAACTCTGATTTGGTGATTACATGTGTGTGAAATTTCAGGGGCATTGGTTTCATCTAATTTGTGGATGTTAAAAATTTTGATTGGTTGATTCTATACAGAGAGAATGAGAGGATATGAGCAGTGATTTGATGAAGTGAATACAACATAAAACATGTAAACTAATTCTAGACTGCTGCACAAAACACCACCATACTCTTTGGTTGTCCGACACAACATGGAAAATAAATTAAATCAATAAATAAGTACTCTAAACACAGAAATATATCAGCTTGGCTTTAACGTACAAAATAACGTGCATGGGGATTGACTTACAAAAAGATGAGATTTCTGATCTCAATAACTTAAGACGACAAATAAGAAAAAAGGAGTAATACATGATTCCTTCATTTCAAACAAAAGAAAAACGATTGCCTATCGAGCAACTTTTCCAACTACTTTTGGCCCTCCTACTTGAGGGTTATATGGCATATAAATATTGCACTTCTTTTTGATTTGGCCTGAGTTTTTCTTTGAAGAAAGAATAGCACAGACCAAGAACACGATAACTCATGAATGAGGAAATCATTTTTTCCTCTTGAAAAAAAGCAGCACAGCATATTAAAAACTTAATCTTCTTTCTCATCTTGTTACATCTCACCATTTGTTTTTGTTTTGTAGATTAATGTAAGCCGCTGCTCTCGAATTCACTAATATATAAGCACTGCTGGCAGAAAATATATATTTCACCATCTTGTCTTAATTCTGAAATCAAATGAACCATGCATTGTTTCTTCACATGCAGCGTGTCATAGAACTTTCTACAATTCATTAGAAATAATAATTGCATGAATCTTTTCTGTAATTCAAAGCAAAAAGTAAAAATAAAAGAAATATTCCACATTCTCATTTCCTTTCATTGTAACAATATGTATAGGTGAGAGTTCATCATTTCTCTATCAAAACCAGCTTCCAAATCGAATACCATTTCTTACATGATTTTTCTACCAAAACTCATTCAATGTACTGTAATGTAAATAAGAAAATCATATATACAAATTATGCAATTCAACAATCCTCAGTATTAAATCTTCATCAGTTTTTTTTTATACTCAAAATGCTACAAATGTCCTAAAAATTCCAAAGTAAGCTTGATAAGAATATGTACAAAGTTGATTTCTTTATCATTCAGTCATCGCAAAAATCAATGTCCAAATTTCTTTCCATATCACTGCACATGTAGAGGATGGAATCAAAATTTGAATACGAGAAAAGAAGAAATTTTCTCTCTTTGTCAGACACTGGATGGGGCGTAACATCCAAAGCCTGGCACAGCCTCTGTTCATATGTGAAAAGAGAAGAAACAGAACACAAATGAATTGTAACAAAGTAAAGAACTTGGGTTAATATTCAAGCATGAGAACTATATTATCAATGTGCAAGGATATTGTACCTATCCTGAGTTGTTAAGAACAGAGATTGAATGATAAACCACTCACTCGTTTCAAACAAGTTCTTATAAAAGTGAGATCATTTCAATAATGTAGTCTTCCAATCCAATCTGGGAAGTGAAAGATGCTAAAGTTTCATTTTCAATTCAGAGGAACTAAAAGACTACACTGTCTACACGGTTCATAGAAAAGGTCTAACAGTAGTGGCAGGATAAGGGAAAGGCAGGTATTTTTTTCTTCTGTATGCAGTTTAAAAAAAGTTATTTAAAAAAAAGGTCTTATACAACTTATATGAAGTAACATTGCTCTGGGCTATATCTCATCAAAGATGTAGGGTTATGGTAGGTGTTGGGATAGGAATTTTGATTAGGTTTATGTATAGTGTGTGATCAAGGATTAAAGTTATAACTTCCATGAATACATGTGACTATGAATACATGTGACTATGAACTAATGTCACCGGAGCACACGTGGTATAGCCTACATACCTGCTCTAGAAGGCATTCCCCTACAGAGCATCTGTTTATTCTTTAGTAGGGCTTGTTGGCATCCTTAGGGCGCTTGTGTTGCACTTTGAGTCTCTTCATACCGATCTGGAAGCCATTCATTGCCTGGATGGCAGCTTGAGCGCATTGCGGGTTGTCAAAGCTCACAAAACCTGGTGCAGAGATAAGAGAACGGAACAATATTTTATGTTTTACCTAGATGATTTCCTTTGAGGAAGGGTTTGAGGGGGCATATTTAGGGTTGAGAGGGGCAATTTGTGCCCCTATGCCCCCTGGATTTGCCTTATAATTCTACTGGTGAACACTTTCCAAAGCACTTGCTCTGGGTAGTTATGCAAATAACAAAGAACTTGAGAGAAGTAAATCAAATCCAATACATAAGACATGACTTTGGTACAATACCCCTATGACAACAAAGTTAAGTATACAACAAAATCCTGCTTCTCCTACGACTACATCTCAAAAACTGCAGAACACTTACTGAAGCATTTGCTCTGGTTGGTGACACGATCAACAAAGATCTCAAGAGTAGTAAATAAAACCCAATACATAAGACATGACTTTGGTACAATACCCCTATGACAACATAGAATAAGTATACAACTACAACTACATCTCAAAATCCCATAAAAATCTGCAGACCACTTACCGAAGCACTTGCTCTGGTTGGTGACCCGATCAACGAAGACCTTGGAGCTGATGACTTGGCCGAAGGGCACAAACATCTGGGTGAGTTCAGCATCGCCAAACTCTTGAGGCAGGTGGTAGATGAAGAGATTACAACCTTCTGGTCCTTGGGTAAAAGGTAAGGGGTAAGGAGGATGGTCAGATTTTATGAGAAGATGGGTTATGGTTAAGGTTAGAGTTCTTAATTGCAAAGGTGTAAAATAATTTTGGAGCTTAAACAGTCTTCCAATATAAGTGCGGAAGAATATCATAGACAAAAATGTCCCCTGAAAAGGATAGCTTTTCAAATGCCCTTTTATCTGAAATATGACATGAAATAGGCTTAGCTAAAGTGTTTGAAACACATTTTCATGCCACAGGTATGTGTAATCCCATATACATATTTCTGTGTACAGTACATGTGACTTTCACGAACACTAAGTCACTATCTTTTTGATAATTCCAAAACCTCCTCATTCTATCAGGTTTAAAATAATTGTAGATGCAATTATTTTGTTAAAAAACTTTTTTTCTTAATTTTGAATGAGCTAATAGTGGATGCAATTATTTTGTTCAGAATTGATTGATTTATTTTATCTTTGTACGACCTACTATCTTTGTCAAGAGGAAAATACTGTTATCAATTGTTTTGCTCTCCCATCTCTGGTCTATATTGTTCAAATGTTTTGTTACCTTTGTTACCTGCCAGTACAAGTATGAACTGATCTAAACTAATGTTTGCACTATACTGCAGTTATATTTTTACATTTAGCTGTAAAATATTGTTTTCATCAGTAAATCACAAGTTTCAACTACAATGAACTAACAATACTGCACACAAGATAGTCCAATACAAGCAAATTTAAAGCTACCTTGCAATAGAATTGCAAATAAGTCCATGCATTGAAAACTTGCAAAAAAATATAATATTCTACATGTAGCTAAACAAATTCACAAAAAATTATCTCCTATATGAACATTGAAATAAGAGTCCATTCTATCATTACAAGACTTGCATAAATATGTCATTGAAACCTTGCTAGAGCTCATTCCATATAAATAAAAAGGGATTTCTATCTAGGAATTGACTGAGTCAACTTGCAATTAATATTGTACTTTAAACATTATGTACAAATTGCATGCACAGACAAAATCATTGCAGATTTCCTAATTGAGGCATTGTCCAAAAAGGTGATCACTTGAGTCAATATTTCCTATACTCTAATTCAAGATTTTTTAATGAGAAATACAAAGCTCAAGGACACACTAAAGAGCGTTTACAAAAAAGGAAAAATTTGACCAAATATGCCCGTAAATATTACCCTTATGGATGTATTTGCTCACTAAAGGATATCATATTATTTTAGTTGTGCCTGTAATAACTTGCTAAGTGAACTTTGAGAAAGGTAAACTATTTTACACCCTTGCTAATCAAAATAATAACATTGGTTTATCAACATTTGTTATTCTTTTGACAAACCATGGCAAGTTGGCAGGATACGCAAACTTGAAATTTGCTCTACATAACAGAGCACTTAGACTGGCAGCCATGATTGATGTACTGTCAGTAGACCCAATGTGATGTGAATGTGTTAGTTGTTAAGGAGGAGGGGTAGATAATGATCTTCAAAGATGATAGGATAGAGTAAAGAAGAAGAAGGAAGAAGATGAAGGGAGAGGTGGAGTCTTGTGGTCTAGTGATTGCTATTTATTTTAATGCATATCTATGTCTAATTTTTTGGTGGCGTTTCTCCATTTTGGTATCAAACTTCATTGATTTAACTACCATTTCATCTTTAATTCTTTTTTTCACTTCCATGCACACATCCTTTTCATGAAATAGTGCCTACCTGTGGGTTACTTTTGATGGTGTTTCTCTGATTCGGTATCTTATTTCATTGTTTAGATTACAGTTAAATCATTAAATCTTACATTCACTTCAATTCACAAATCCTCTTTTACTGAAATACAAGTAATAATCCAAGATTTAAAGATGTAATTTGAAGAGGGAAAAAAACACTTTTATCAACATCACGCCACATCCAAAATGCACATAACATATTAAATCTGTGATCAATGCCTGAACACTTCATTAGCATATATGAACATCACTCACACTTGAATTATAATCAAACCTCAAAGAAGTGCATTCGTGAGAGAAGTGTTGTAAAGGTATAACTGGAATGGAGAATATTTTTCATTTTGTAAAGTTTAAAGAAATATCAAATTTCATTACAGGCTTAAAAAAAGAAACTGTCGCAAGACATCATGCATAATCATGCTCAAATAATTAACAGAAGAGAATTTACTAATTATTTTGGTTTTTTTTTCTCCTGACAATTAACAATATCTACATTGAAGGACACTTGTTCATTTCCCACATCTCCAAGTATGACTCCACATGGGTATGATGGGTGGGGAGGGGGAGGGGGGGGGAGTTCCATGAGGACAGCGGACAAAGAAGAACAACGGAAGACAACGTAAGACAACGAAGGACAACCTAGGACAACAAAGGACACAACAAGGAGGTTGGTTGGTTAGTAGGGAGACAAGGGGAAGACAAGATATAGAAGAAGAAGAAGGAAGAGTGTGAGTTATTACCATACTCACCCTCCCTCTGAGGGGCCGCTGCTAGTACGGGCTGCTGGGCGGCGGTGGTGGCGAACCCTTGGGTCAGACCACCAAAGGCAGCTGGATACGTTGCTGGAAGGAGGAACAAACATACACAGAATATTGCAGAGGGTAAAGAATTGTTTTCATCAAGTTACAGTAATGAATTGGGATATTTTTAATAAGATGCCATGCAGCAAATACCTGTAAGTACCTTCTGGGTGGGCTAAATTCAAGCATTTTGAATATTTCTATATTATCCAGCTGGTGAAAAGTGTGCAATATTTCCAATTTTATAACACCCTCTGTAGCATACTAATTTTTGTTCTTCATGAGAATTGAGATTGTGTGTGGAATACTTGGGCTCGATGGCGGTATACAATAAGGACATAAATTTCAGAATGGTACAGGAAACAAAAAGTATATATATACATGTATCCTCTGTTGAGAACTAGAAGGGCGTTAACACTGTTAAGGCACCTAAATTAATGTCCTTCTGACAATATAACTGATGATAGAAGAGAGCAAAGATGTACATCCATTAAATTTCATCTACTCATCTGTTGAGGCCAGAAGGGTTTAACTCACATCCTTTTACATAGAATTGATGCCCTTCTGGCTCTATGATGATTATATTCTCTTGTATGGCAGCTGCTGGAGGATTGATATCTCAGTAATATACCATAATTACTTTCAATGTCATAATAATAATGTGGGATGATTAATTTGCATGAACTGACCTGCATATTGCTGCATACCAGTGTACGCCTGTTGAAGAGGATCCGTAGCAACCGCTGTTGCTGCAGCAGCTACTGCTGCTTGGTTGGCAGCTGCAACATCAAAAGCAACATGGATTAGGATCAATTGCTTTCTACATTAATCTTAATCCAAACTTCAATCCCCTTTTCTACCTAGATCTGGATTATGACATCCCATTTAATGTTCAATCTTTACTATATTTGGTACATATATATATTACATCCACTCCAGTGATGTAGCATCCTCTGGTCTGTTCACATATGACACAGAAATCTGCAGTATTTATTTTAATGTGTAAAGTAAATAGCACTTGGGGATAAAACAAAGAAGCTGCAAGCAACACACTGTCTATGTGTTGTAAATACAGTCATTACACAGTAGGGATACTGTGTGTGCGTAAAATGGAATCTTCTCAAAGATTAATAAAATTAGATCAAGGTTCTTACGAGGCCGTCATCATCAGTCATCGTTTTAATTTATGAAAGACACAATGTACTTTTATAAGATTTACACCCCCAAAACAAGCTCCTAGCCCATCTCTTTTAGCAGATCTCTGTTTTGTTTTGCTCTCCTTCTCCTTTCCTCTCACCCACTGTCTGCCTTTCTCTCCCTTTTCTTTCTATCTCTCTTTCCTTTCTCCAGGGAGACTATGAAAGAGCCACTACCTACCTGCATACTCTCCTGGATACTGTAGGCCGTTGGTATAGAGCGTGTCTGCCTGTCCGTTAGTCTGTGCAGCCAGGGTGTACGTGGGCATGGTGGGCGAGGAAAGGGTAGGGGTGCTGACAGCACAGTTGACCGCCGACTGGCCGGCGCCCGGGGCAGGGACTGTAAAAAGACAAGAAGTAAGAGCCGGGTCTGAGGAAGAAGATGGTTAAGATAATCATCAACTGAAAGCACACTAATTACCAAATCATGTTTTGCTAAGGATGTAAGGGATTCTATGTTGCTATACTACAGTCTAACTATGAGCTTCATATGTTTTTGTTTTCCTACAAAGAAATTGCGGTTTAAATACACTCACAGTGAACTATAAAATGCCTTTGTGAGTAGAATACTTAACACATGCATTCTATACACAGGGTTTTACGTTATCCTTTATTAATTTTCTTCATAACTGTTTATCTATAGCATGCCAGGTAAAGGTTTTTTTTAGGTTGATTTTATACATTCTAGCTAATGTTAGGGCTGGAATGTCATTGGCGGAAATGGTAAGGTGCATCATGGGAAGCATAGACTATCCGACTCATTATGTATTCATTATGCACTGAATTCTACCGTCAATTACAAGCAGAGGGCAAAAATAATGTCTAAAGAGACTATTCTTGTCCATCACTTTGCCAAGTACTCAAATATAATCGTCTTTTCAAGTGTAAAGCAATTCCAGTTTTATGAGTCATTATGTATTTTAGGTAAACTGACATTACACGACAATATTTAAAAAAAACATGACAAACATTATGAGTATATATTTGGCCCTGAAAAGTGATTGACAATGCAATAAAGGACATACATGTATTTAAAGATGACACATACATCAAATTACAACCATAATTAATATGCAGCAAAAAAAGCACAATAAACACATTTGAAGCGATGGGTTACTGCTACAAGCTTTTAACAAACTAATGAATGTTATTTTTCTGCTTTAATTCAGGAGCTTGATGAAGTTCTACTGAATAATGAAACAGTTTTGCTACCATTACCCGCAACTTTTCTCCATGCATGAAAACCCAATAACCTTTACTGATTTTGAAAGACTTCACAAAATCAAAGACCACAAAGTAAAAATCTGCTTTTTATTTTCCCCTCACGACAAATAATTTTAGACAAATGACTTAAGCAAGGATTTGGTAAAAAGACAACGCTGTTGCCTACAACAAAATTACATGCAGAGAAACCCTATAAATCTTTACCGATTCCCTCCATACCTAGGAGGTGCTCCCCACTGGTAGGAATGGTACCCGTGGTACCCGCCGGGAAACCGTTGGCAGCCACAGCGTTCATCTGGTTCATCTGTTGTGCAGCTGAGAGGGCAGCCATGGGGTTCATGTAGGCGGCCGAGGACTGGTGGGCCATCAGTGCTGCTTGCTGTTGGAGCATTTGTTGCTGTATGGGTATGCATGAGATCGATGTGGTGAGTGAGTGAGTCAGAAGCAAGGGTTAGTTCTTACACTAATGAAATACATCTGCATTGCGACTATTATCAACAGCAGTAACGGTTTTCTTGCAGATAGCTCATGAGTGTCTAATAGTCGACTAAAAATAGGTACTCCCGGTAGGCCTATTCGATGAAATATCCGTTCAAAGACAAAATAAGTCACAATAAAGAAACGAGCAGATAATCCTTCTCTTCTTTTTTTTTACGGGGGGGGGGGGGGGTGTAATTAATGATTTCTGCTAAAATAAAAGCATCAGTTTTGTTAAATATGAAATATAAAAAAAGACTTGTACGCATATAACACAGTAGAATGCGTGTTTTTTAAGCATACAACACTTCACAGTTTGATATCTTATGACACACAGATAAGTGAGAATGGTAGCACCAACATTGCTGTACTTTTTTCACTCCCAATTGACATTTATTTAGTACCAAAAATACCACCAAAAACCCACACACACAACAAAAATAACAACAACCAATAACGCAGCATTTGCCACAGCATATGTGAATTAGCATTTATAGAACATGAATGAAAGATGAAGACTTACTGTATTGACCTGGTAGCCACCGTAGAGGGAGATGGGTGAGCTGACAGCCATCTGGTTGAAGAGACCCATCGAGTTGGACATCTGCTGCATGCGACGTAGCTGACGCTCTTTCTCTGTATCTGCAAACTTGACCACCAGATTGGGGTTGGCCTGTGTACAAAGAATGAGAAGAGAAGAGAAGAGAACTCGGTCAAGAACTAGGATTTCAGATGGATTGTACAGGAATGCTGTTGTTGGACATTGTCAGGAAGTGAAACTGAAGAAGGGGGTGACAAGTAACGAGTAATTTAGACCCCTATGTGTATGCATGTGAGTAAAAGAGAGAGAGAAACACGCAAACACAAACACACACATAAAGACAAACAGAGAGACAGACAGAGAGCCAAACAGAGAGACAGACAGAGAGCCAAACAGAGAGACAGACAGAGAAACAAACAGAAGGACAAACAGAGATGAAGTCAAATAGACAGAAAGACAGAAAAGAAAGATAACAGACTCCAAAATGTAAGATGTGCCTGAGAGAAAAAAAGATGTAGACAGAGGGTCACAAAAAAGGAATAAGAGAGAAGTGAGAGGGAGAGAGGAGAGAGGGAGAGAGGAGAGAGGAGAGAGGGAGAGGGGAGAGGGGAGAGGGGAGAGAGGAGAGAGGAGAGAGGGAGAGAGGAGAGAGAGATATATATATATATATAGAGAGAGAGAGAGAGAGAGAGAGAGAGAGAGAGAGAGAGGGGGGGGGGAGAGGGAGAGAGAGGATAGAAAATAGAGAAAGAGAGAGGAGAGAAAGAAGAGCAAGAGAGAGGGAAGATATTGAGATAGGAGGGAGTACAAAGATTATAAGAGAAAGAGAGGATGGGATGAGCAAGGAATGTTTTTAAAAAGGTGGAGATATTAGGGTGAGGAAGCAAACTCACAAAAAATCAATAGAGCTAGAGGTTAGGAAAGACAATAAGATGGAAAGAAAAAGAAAAGAAAGGAGGGGGAGGTAATGAAGGAGTCTTAACAAATGGAAGTAATGAAAATGCTGACAATTGTGGTGATGACCATTATCAAAATAATCAACCTGCTTGTGATGTCAAAAGTAATGATTATGATTGATCCTCGTAGCTATGATTATTATAATCAGTTTATATAATAATGCTAGTAATATAAATTATATTTATTGTGAAATATCTTTCCAAAAGGTTGCACCCATTACATGTACTGGTACATCAATTTTGAAAGGGGAAAAAAGACACTAAAATGAAATCACAAAATTGTATTTATAGCTTTAAAAAACATCTACCAGGAATAAAATTGGAGTCAATCTTTGTTATTTGAAATCACGACAGGGCTTCACAATAGGACATCAACATACGCATCATGCACAGTATGCCCCATCAACCTTTGCATGACAACTTGAAATAACAGACAACACAACATTCTGTGATTTATGAAAACACAGAAAGTCTAAATGCCCATTCCACCAACGATGACGGCGACGTCAGAAATATTTATGATGTATGACGCAGAGCCAATTTTGTTACGTATTGGACATAAACGAAAGATTAATCAACTTTTGGAGCAAAGACCATGAACACACAGGAAGTAACACAATAGCACATGTATACTTGTAATTTGATTTAAGCATCTCAAGTGACACGACAATCAAATGACAAATTTGGAGAGGTTTGCAGAGAGAGGCAATGTGCCAGGAGATATGAAAATATAATGTATAGAATAATGAAAGACAAACGCAAGCACTACCACAGTATGTATTTTAATATGTGCAAGTGAGACAAAAATATTGACGAAGCATCAAAAGTGATATAATATACACTTAATACTAGGTTAGGAAATGGATCTAAATATTTTTCTCAAGGGTTGGACATACATGGTTTTAAAAAGTTTATTTACTTTCTCTCTCTAAATAATAAGGTACTTGACCCTACTTATATGCTTGCTCTCTGAATCAGCCAGGAAGGATGAAATATATTCAGTATAAATGTAAAGCATTTTGACTCGTAACACTTCCACTGATATATTTGGGGTAAACGCAACAAGCAAAGTGAAGTGAATTGTGCAAGACTCCAAATTACATTCCTAATATTTGATTATAAGGTTCTGACTAGCATTTTGAATGTCAGGAAGAAATGAATATTGCTTATTTATTTGTCGTTGACAAAGTGTCAAGTCTCTAACAAACTTGAAATATAAGGAAACAGGGACTGCATAAAATGATCATTCATTACAAAGTCATTGTGGAAATGCTTTTTTTACCAATGGAAAATTATGTTTCATTGAAAATTAGATGCATTTTTCCTATTGTGATAATTACTCTTCATAACCATATTAATAAGGTACCAAACAGTGTGTATTTCTCTATCATAAATATTTAATTCAAAGTACCGGTAGTAGTTAATAATTAAATGAAGAAATACGACCAATTGCCAAGACAATTGAAACAAATGACCCACATTAACAATACACTGTCAAATGGAAAACATAATTATCTTTTTTTTTTCCTTTTTTTTTTCATATTTGTGTATCTTTCTTACCCTTCACAAATTCACAACATTAAATAACTATATGCGTTAATATTTATCATGATAATGGATGATTTCTTGATATGTTGATACACAGAGATACTTAACAATATCAACAAAATGCAAACCATTATGCAATATGCAATATTAGCTTATTTCAATAAACACAGAATGGCTTACTTACAATATTATCTGTATCTATTTGGGACGAGGGAAGCAGGGAAACATTGTAGGTCAATGATCATTGTATTTTTATCATTAATTAATTAATAATTTCAATACGACTCTAATCACATGACATTTTTAAAGAGCACTAAAAACTTGTCTTAAGCCTTCCTAGTTATGTAAATAAATTCAAAGATTGCCTTAAAAAAAAACTTGATACCTACAGCATGTACACAGATCGATAGCTCAATATATCATTAGTATTTATCTTTCTTTACTCTTTTAACCTCAAATTCAAATTCCAATCCTTCCTATGCACTGAATCTCACTAACTCTTTAGTAAGTCTGAAAGCTTAATTGCCTCAGGGCTCCATACAAAGAATTCTTTGAAGGATTTGTTCAAAATGAAACAAATGAAAACAATTAACACATTGTCAGTGTATTCAAAGACCTCATGTCACGAATTCCTCACTCATCGATTGAATAACTTTTCAGGGATGAGTACAATAATCTTGATAATTAACATAGTGATTTAACATTTGCAACTGTTGTTATATAACGATATAAAAACAAGTACTTTAAAAGCTTTAAGAGGCAAGACTGAAATATTTCCACCCAGTATACAGAACTACAGTGGACGTCAACATTTCTTAATGCACTACTAAAGATGTCAGTTCTTTTTGTAATTTAAGAAACCGACTACTATTGGGAGCTAAAATATCAGTTTGAAATCTTGTGTTTGATTTCAAAAGATACTTTTATTACTTACAAACCACTCATCCTAATGTTCAGCAGATGACGTGATGACCATATTTAGCTAGTCAAGAGTATGGCAAATTGTGCATTGAAAATTGAAGACACCATAGATCAAGGCAAACCAGAGACAATTAACAACCTCTTCAATAAAGACCGTCATCACTTCACACCACTGATAGAACAAATATAACAATGCATATATACAAATCAAACCGGCAACCACTGGAAAGAAATTGTGTCTTTAAAAAAATTGTCTGACCGTGAGGAAAGTATATATCTTCATGCAAGCAAGAAATATACAGCAAAGAGATATAATATTGATATCAAACTACTTGTTTCACCAGGGCCAAAAGTACAGGACAGCATATCTTGGAAGATATGTATACAATCAGACAGAAAACAGTCTGGCAAAAAACTATGGTTACAGCACAAGAAAAACTTGACTCTCACTCTACTCACTCAGATAATGAGATATTTAATACAAAACATAACTTCTGAATAAAGAAGATCAATAAATATCACTTTCCAATGCATCAATCCACGTGTACTAAATGTGCTAGATATCAAGAGACACTTCAATGAGACGATGAATTTCCTGTGCAAGAAGAAATTGTGTCAGTTTCCAAACGCATATCATTTCAAAAAAATAAATCTAGTATTGTTTTCATTAAACTAGGGCTGATAACTTGGTATTTGATAGTTCTGTCTGCAGTATTTTTTCCATTTCTAATGACATTTGATTGACCCTTAACAGTTTTCTTTGTGTGTCAATCTAGTCTGAATATATTCATCTTAAGTGGAAACATGTCAAATGTCCTCCATAGCATAGAAAACATTTTTTAAAGCCTTGTAATATCACATTTTGAATAGCTTTTCTGAGTCTCACTGAATGCTGGGGTAATAATTGATTCCAGGTTCACATGGAAATTCATCATCTCTTGACATCAAAGACGCACATCGAGCAAGTACCTGATTGTGCAGGCTTAGCGTATTCATGCCATTTGAAACTTGCTTGAAGAACGGCCATTGGGTTGAACCATTATCACAAGGGGGTGATGAGGTTGTTCATGGCCAGATCCATTTGGGCAAATGGCCGGAATTTCAGAGTGGTAATTTTTTTAATTGAATCATTTTGCAATGTCAATTGTCAGTAAGGTTTTGATGGGGGAAATGAAAATAAAACAAAGAGTGAAGAATTACATAAGCATGTTGATAAAGCTTTCAGGATAACAATCTACTATATTATGCATATTCTGTGTAGATATATGCACGGTAGGATGACATACTATATTAATGACAAAATGATAATATTTTTAAAAATACATAGTTATAGATCCTACACTATAAATGTCTGTTGTGTCAAGACAAATGCAATTGCTATAGCTTAGCTTTATGAAATCACTTTCTATTACAACCTAACTCCTCAAAAACAAAATTCTGCAATCTAAGTTTCAGCGTTGATATTTCTCTTGTTACTATATTATCATATTTGAAGTTGGTATCAATGAAAAGCCTCTTTATTTCCCTTCACAATAATGCCCCGTTTGTAATGATTATGTCATCATGGAATGTGCAGCACACCTGAAGATGGGCGAAAGTCAAAAATGAAATGTTGCAAAATGCATTGACATTCCTTCAAAATACAATCCATCCTCCAAACAAATGAATAATTCACTATTGACAATAACAATTTGCAACATTTCACTTTTTAATTGGCCTTATATTCAGGTGTACTGCACATTACATAATCATGTCAAACAGGGCATCGTTGTAAAGGTTAATTAACAGGCTTTTCAATGATACCAATGTTAAGTATGACGATATAAAAACAAGAGAGATATCAACGCTAAAACTTGAATTGCAGAACTTTTTTGAGAGGTTTATTACATATCTTTCTTGCAAACGTTCCACGTAGGCTACAAGATGACAGCGTATCATTTTCCATGACAGGTCTACTCATTTGGCAAACTAATTTTAGATAGTGCATTCAGTAGAACAGTGTAGAGAAAAGAGGGTTAGAGGGAAGAGAGAAATATCATTACACGCACCAATAAGAAAGCATTTAGGCAATAAGATATAATTCCTATATAGAAATGGGATGTAGATGGGATTGTCTCCTGAGAATTGAAAGGGCATTAACTCTGTGTGGAAGTATGTGAGTTAATGCCTTTTGGCTCTAAGCGTATGTAATGACATCATGCTCTGTTGGCAAACTCCCAGCTAGTGCCACCAGTTCAGGACATGGGTGCAATACAGAAGGTCTGTACAGGCATTCATAGATGATGATGACTTCACTATATTTTAATTTGTCAACTTTCTATCAAATAGTAATGAGATTCAAGGGAGCTACTTTGGAGGGAAATTGTTTGAATGGTACAATATCATTCACAAAGACGTCATTCATGATTCATGATCTGATATTAGATATCCAAATAATGATGAATCTTTGTCCCTTTACAGTTGGTTATTTGTTACGTAATGTTAAGGTGGATTCTTTTCTAGCACCCGATATAACAACGCTTCTCAACATCCAATGAAGATAGGAATGTACCATAAGTCAATATAATTAATATGTCTAAAAAGTTGAACAACCACTGACCACAGACTGGAAACACAATCTTTCCATTTCCAGTTAAAAAAACTTGGGCAAAAATTCACCATCAACTATAACTAGATTTATAGAGATATTTAATGTACACAGAAAGAGATATAACATTATGTACCAACACTATCAAAGTTCAGTTTCCTCTCATATTTTTGTGACTTTATTCTTGGAAACAATATTTATCTATCCAAATTTCATTAACTAGCAGGTACACACATATTGATACTTCTGCCAACAACAAATTATCTTGCGAAAACAGGAGAAAGTTCTCTGATAAACTAATAAACGGTCTCTGCAAACTACCACACTTTCAAATACCATTGATTTTGTTTTGCCAATAGAGACAATTCGATGGGCAATGCATCCCTGTGGACAATATTATATTGCATATAGAGGCGGCTTTAATCTGATCAAGATATGAGGTTTTCTGATCACATGAAACATAACCTAGATATGGAGCCACAGCCGGGCCTTGTTCACACACGACATGGTGAACCGCTTACAAACAAGAACCGTCACAGCAAAATAAAACCATAGTCAGGGGTGATAGTGAGCACTAAAAAAAAATAGGTTTTTTGTTTTCCCCTCAACCACGCCCCCCTTGAGTAAAAAAAAAAAAAGGCGATTCGCGGGGAAAAAACGGCATCTAACAACATTCCCCCCTTTCGATTAAGAAAATTGGGAGAAAAAAATAGGGCAAAATAGGGAAGAATAGAGAAAATAAGGGGGGAATCAGGAAAATCAGGATAAAAAAGGGAAGAAAAAAAAATCTGGTAAAAAAAAAAAAAAAAAAAAAAAAAAAAAAAATCTTTTTTTTTTTTTTTTTTTAAATCGGGAAGAAGAAAAAAAATCGGGAAAAAATCGGGAAAAATAAAAAAAATCGGAAAACCGATTTAAATCGGGTTTTTATCAGGCCTGCATAGTAGGTGTGAATGAGTGGCAAATAGGGTGCAAGATTAGTAGCTGCACCCTACAACAACCTTCACACATACAAATGTATTTAACTGTTTGTGTTTATAACATTCAGGAATTTGCAGTGCACTACACTCACATTTTATTTTGGTGCAGTTTTTTGAGGTGGTTTAATTTTCATGTGTGAACGAGACTTCAGGATGGCAAATCAAATCGTCAATGTTCTATGGATGGCTACAGCCTGAAGACACGTTCTCAATATGTCATTTCTGCTTAGAATGCTAGAATGAACGCATGGTCAAATGGTTCCCTACCAAAAGGTAGTCCTTTCCTTTTCCATCCTTCCTCCCCTGAGAGCCAGAAGGGTGTTAACTCATACACTCTAACACAGAGTTAAAGCCCCTCTGGCTCTGAATGGACTATTTTTAATAAACTATCTAGTCAGGTACTTGGAGAAAAAAGCATTAATTTTAAGTTTTTAGAAGTAAAGATGGGTTAAAACCCTCACAAAGAAAGTCGTTGAGAACATTGACATTATTTTCCACGATGACATTGTTGTTAAAACATTAATTACTGACATTAAGTGCTTGTTCGTATTGCATAATATGCCACAGTGATCCTTGATTCAAAATTGTACTCATTTTGTCCCTACCATTTGCAGTGCCAGTGCAGTCAGCATTAAAAGAAGTAGTAAGTACTTGCACAGTTGCATGAAATGAAAACTAAATAATTCATATTTAATGCTAATGCAGGGTAATCCTGAGGACAGAATATGCACAATAATCTTTATTGCAGGAAGAAGATGTAAGATGAAATAAAACTGATGGCATGGGAGTTGGACAATACATGGAAGGTAGCCCATCAGGGGATCAATCAGCCCTCGACGGGGGGCTTTAACCTCTCTTTCATACCGAACAAAAACTGGTATTTCCATCCAAATATCTTTCTAATTCTATCATCAATACAAGATGAAGCAATAAGTCATTTATGAAAAGTGTAAGGTGGAAAGGCAATTAATGCTATTATATTCTTAATTATATTTCAATGCTTCCCAGTGGAACATAATCCCTACTTGAATGGTCGGAAGGGAGAGGGTATAGATCTCTTAATGGAGTATTCCTCACCAGGCTATGTTTACAATCCTACTTTTATTGCTTTATTGATCGGCAAGGAGAGGTACACTCATTAGACGCCGAGGGCAAGTGGAAGGCATCGTGAGTTTGGAAGTTCTTGGCCAGTCCCTTGGAAGATTTGCCTTGCTTCCACAGCCCCACTTGAACTTAGAGCTATCAAGCCCAGCATGTATATTCTAAACAACCAACCTTGTATGGGGTGTAATTGACTGTTATCTGTAAAAAGAAGGTATTTATAAATTTTAAATTTGTTATATAAAAACATGAAGAGAAAGGGCATTATCAAATCAACTATCATTTGGAATATAGCCCATTTTATAGCTTTCATTATGGTTACTATTACGGGGGATAATAGTTGAAGAATAAAATGAGGACAAGACCACATGGAGGTTGATGAACTCTGAATAATCTCTGCTACGAGGCACAAGTGCATCAACTCCTATCAATTGACAGGAGAAATAATGCCCATTCTGGCTCTTAATACACTATGTACAATGCAGTTGGATAACACACTAACAAGTTCTAATGAAGATTGCAAGAAAACATTAAGATGAATAAAATACTTCAATTACATCACAAACTGGCTCTTAAAACAACTCTAAACTGACTGATCCTCAGCCATTTTGGGTCATGTGACTTTCTATGAAAGACAAAGAAATGTAATTACATTGAAATCTATTTATATATAAAAGTGGTCTTTTAGTACAGGATTCAATAGGAAATAATTTTCAACGGAAAACAAAAGGTACCAGTAGTCTTTCTATAAAAGTGGTCAGGTGTTTACAAAAGCAGGTTTCACTGTATTTTTGAAAAATATAAAAATCATCAATACCGCTTTGCTGTTATCTAATTCACGGATCCTTGTTAAAAGATAAAAAAAACATGTCCAATATTTGGCAACGTATGGGATGAAATGGCTTGAGAGAGAGAGAGAGAGAGAGAGAGGAGAATGCAATTCTAATCACTACAAATCTGACTAAAAAGCTTTTTGGCAACCACAAAAATATATAGGAAAGTAATACACACAACCAACCCCCCCCCCCCCTTCCCCGATGCTACACTAAACTTAAAAGTGGATTGTTGGCTAATGTGGAAAAAGACTAATCGTACCCTCTGGCTGACTACGTAATGCAACCCATTCTCAGAGCTGCTATTTCTTTCTTCCATTCGACACACTCCTTCAAATTATCCTTTCCTAGGAAGAGGAATTGTCTGTTTAAAAGTCAGATATATCACTAAATCATACCATCGTGGAAAAGATATCTATTCCAACCAACCAAAAAGGGAAAAACCCACTTTATTTCATTGGGGTAATAGATACATTTTGGGGTTTCAGAATCTTACAAAGATCTTGATTGTGT